ATTTTTTTTTTTAAATATATATTATATTTTCTACTTAAATAAACTAAGTTTAACATTAGTTAAAAATTAACTAATGATCTGTTGGTGAGGCCATTTAATCTGTCCAGTCCCATTTACTTTGATCAGTGTCAGAAGAGGTGCTGTTTATAATCAAAGCTGAATTATTTTGGTTGAGTTCAAATCTTTTCTGTTTTTATGACTGTGCAGATTAACTCTTGCTAGACAAATTTCTCCCACCCAATTCCCTTTATTATAATGGGACAGAAATAAAACAGCTTAATTTGCTCAACACTGGAAAACTAGACATCATATATAGGTTTATGTAACTGACCTCCAGTCTGGCATGTCCTTCTTTGTTACATTTGTTGATTATGATTGATTGTTTTAAATGTTTACTTTTGTGTACTTTGTTGAGTTTTTTTTTCAAGATTGTTTTGGACGTCTGGTAAATAGGAGACAAACGAAAAGACAGAAATTAATAAAAGAATATGACAACATACATTTTGAACACTTTGATCTTTTTCATGGATTCGTTCATGTCAATTAATATATCAACGTGTCATTTTATGTATGTTAATTGTTTTCAAGAATGTTCTACTTTAGGATTAACTTCATAAAGAATGTCAAAGTAAATTTCTTTGACATATACAAATACAATAAAGGTGTACTCACACTTATAATATAGAGTTTTACAGTATTGTTCACATTTACGGAAGACCAAGCAAGGCAAATAGTTTAATGTGTTAGGGTCACCCAAGCATGTATGTATGTATGTATGTATGTATGTAAATAAATAAAAATTTAAGAGGTTTGTTTTAAATTGCATACAATGCATCGAAATAATTTTAGCCATTCGTCTAAAACAAAGACTTTAAGACCAAGCAGATGCCTCTGCAAGTTGATAACCATAGACATAATAATTTATTATTATTATTAATTTATTATGTCTATGCTGTTGACTACAGCAGTAGGCAGGACTAACATGCAAGCGACAATGCCATTGGCTAGTGCTCACCTGTCAACTGTCCGCTGTTTGATTTCAGCAAATCGCAATGCCGAAATCAACGCAACGCGATTAATATTCATGAGCCCAACAGAACTCGGCATTAACGCGGCAGACTGTGATATGATGAATATGAAATGATGTAGGCCTATTTGACGATTGTGAGAAGGTAAGACAAGAGCAAAAAAAGTTAAGAAGAAAAAAAGTTGTAAGTTAATGTTGTTAAATAGATTACTTTTATAGTGTTCTTAATCTCTGAACTAAGCAATTCTCTAAATTTTGTTTAATTTGAAAAATATATATTTTCAGACCTGCCTCTAACTCACTTACTGAACGTTTATGTGTCGAACTGGTCGATAAAGCCACAGTGTTTACACTTTTCAGGGTAATCATCCTACAGATGGTTTACTTAGTTGTCTCTACAGATGAAGCTGAGAAAGTGCCTGTGGTCGCAGTTTTAAGAAAATACTCCAGCTGAGGCTCCAGTCGGAGCTGCCTGTAGGCCATGATGGACAGCTTGCTGTGGCAGTATCTTTTCTCTGTCACTGCTTTAACAAGAGCAGGCAAGTAACAGAACATAGTTGCTTACACTTGATCTTCTTCTCTTGGTCCTCCTTTCTCAGTGATGTAGAAAGCTAAAAGTGTTTGAAGAGTATTCATAAATACATTTACATAAAAAAGTGCTTGGTAAGATTTTTTTCTTATGTTCACCATTTATTTGAGTAAAAATACGGTAAAACATCAAAATTGTGGGAAAAAAAACCCAATTTGAAATAACTATTTTCCTTATTATTATGTTATAAAATGTAATATATTCCTGTGATGGCAAAGCTGAATTTTCAGGAGCATTTAATTTGGTGTCATCATATTTATTTACAGAATCAGACTCATTATACTCATTGACCTTAATCAGGTGAGATGCCATATTGAATTTAACACCGATGAAAACGAGGCTATGAAGGAAGACTTGCAGTCTTTACTCAAAATGGAGTTGTGAAACGTATGTAATTCCTACGCACTCTTATGGCGTTTTTGTCTGCTTTTTTTTCCAGAAAGATGTTTCAGCTGCACAAATCGGTATGTTGTTAAACAACAATACATTCCATTGAACACACAGTACTTCTGTCCCTCACAGCCTCGTTTTCATTCCTGTCTAAAATTAAACATGGCACCATACTGACTAAGGTCTATTATATTGTATGCAGGGTGAATTCATTTAAATTGATTGACCAGATAATGTTGGAATGTCATTTTTCTATTTCTATATTTGACATGTGGAACCTGATATTTTCTGGTCTTAGTTTGCTCAGGTTGAGGTGTGTCCTGTCCATCCTGACATTCTAATTTTTGATTATAAAGTTAATATATTTGTAGTAAACACATTAATCTCTAAAAATGTCATGAATGTTATATTGATGGCCTCTTTGTTTAAATATGCAGACATCTGCAAATTATTTTATTAAATAAAGGGCATCTCTGTGCTCTAGATGATTTGTCATAAACCTACCTGCGTTCACTCACTATGTAAGTGAACAGGCCCTAACAATCATTTTATTAATGGCTTGTTTTTGGTTGATTAAATATTATTAGTAACTCAATCCGCTGAAGTCTGCTGTGAGGTTGAATGCCTATGTTTATGGGCCCCTGAGAGTGCTGATGTTTCTATATAAGTTCTTAGCCTAATGGAGGGAGTCTGGGAAACATATGATCTGCAGACTGTTGGAACATGTGCATGGGTGGTCAGGGTTGTGTCTGAGCTTCCATTCTATGTTTAAGTGAAGATGGATGCTGCTATTTCTTTCCTGAATGCAGCAACCAAAATACCTTTAAAAAAAAAATGAGATTGGACCTAAAGGACTATTGTCCATGTATGAATCTAGGTATTATATCTCTTCAAAAAACAGAATAGCTATTGAATGTGTGTGAGTGTGTTAAAATGCTTTGGACAGATAAAGAGTGAAATTAAAGCCCTGCTATGTACAATGTTGCCTCCGTGAACCACACACACACACACACACACACACACACATCACACATCACACATCACAAGTGTGTCCAGGTTTGAAGTGCTGTCCTGACTTTGAAAACAGATTCTCAGACATAGTTGCACAAAACCAATTAAATATGAATCTGTTTGTTTTTATCTCTTCTGATCCTTATTTTAAATATGTTAGGAATTATGAATATATGATAGATATTATGATCTGCACTTCTGATAAATAAAAAATGTATCAACACATTTACAGTCCTACGGCACTTTATGTGCTTCTTTTTCAGTTCTAAATTTTACTAACAGTTTTATTTTACATTTTAAAGGGGTCATATGATGCGATTTCAATTTTTCCTTTCTCTTTGGAGTGTTACAAGCTCTTGGTGCATAAAGAAGATCTGTAAAGTTGCAAAGACTAAAGTCTCAAATCCAAAGAGATATTCTTTATAAAAGTTAAGAGTCAACCACGCCTACCTAAAACGGCTCGTTCTAACACGCCCCCACATGTCTACGTCACGATGTGGGAAGATTTGCATAACGCCACCCAAATGTTCACGCAAAGAAAGAAGGCGTAACTTTTATTCTCGCTGTAGTATTGTTGCTGCCGCCATGTCGTGAAGGCGCTGTGTGTTTCGTTGTGAAAACACATTTCATTACACCAAATACACAAAATAATGTTCTTTTTGGCAACATCATATGACCCCTTTAATAGTGAATTGTGAGTAAAGATTTGCATTTAAAAGTTATTTTAATTTCAGCAAATATATTGGCATATATACTGCCACCCTGCTTTCATATATACTGTATATATATA